ATTAGGGTTAAGAATTGAATAAATATTTATTGTTTGATACATCATTAGGGCTCTTCTCTCATCACATAAAAGTCTTAGTAAATTCATATATTTATGTACTATTTCCACTCTCCACTTTCCACTCTCCAGCTATTTTTATAAAAAGTAGTCTTTTCTTATTCTCACTTATTTGTATTTTCATGATTTAGAAAATATATTCTATCAGTTTTTCTTGGCAAACCCATCAAAAGAATGTATGACCTTGTAGACAACATTTATGTTAAAGAAATTATTTCATTTTAATTAAATTAAAGCTGATTTTTTTCTTTTGTTACATGGGGTGGAAATATTTATATTATGTTATTACATAAACAATATACTCTACTGATCTATGGGAGCCATTCTGATTAAACTGAGCAGCTCATAGGCATTGGATAGCCATGCAATGAGGAGCAAGGGCTGGGTATATGAGGAACTTGGACTACTGGTCAGGACCTGCACACAGATTATGCAGATACTCTCTTTCACTGTCACCCTCATTCTCAATGCAGAGGACATTGAAGTGTCAGGAGTGCCCCCACAAGCAGGGATAATTCATGTGTGTGTGTGTTCATGTGTAATTACATTAAAATTAAAACTATTGCTTGTGTAGCTTTGGGGTGTTACTGAGTTTGGTCATTTTCCCCCACAGTCAGGGTTGTATTATGTGGTTTCCTAACTGTTGTGTCCAGGGATGTGCACCACAGCTTTACTGTCCGAGTAGCTCATTGGGATGTTAACCTAAGACACAAGGAGTTAAGGGAACAAAGTTTAAAAGGAAAAACAAAGACACTTTATATGCAAGAAAGGAGGCTGGCAGAGAGAGCATAGAAAGCTACCCTGTGAGATGTAGAGAGGGAGCTTCAGGAAGGATAGTAACTGTGAACCTTTGTCTTCAGCTTTCTTTAGTCAAAATGATTGTCTTTCCCAGGTCCATACCTGGAACTTGACATGATCTGATTTGTTGTCTGGACTGGCATAGGTGGATCCCAGGCCCTGACCCCTACCCTGAGCTTCCACTGTCCACATGCAAATTCCTAGATGGGCCAGCTTGTCCTCACCAGGGCCTTAGCTCTGGAATTCATAGGTTGGTTAGGTGGAATTTTACATACAAGGTCTAGTTAGTGATTA